GAACAATCCTATTTATTTTTTACTAATTTAGTAATATTTTTACCAATTTTCATTTATCAGCGGATGGTCCAGAAGGTGTCCAGGCCGCCAAACTAGCCTGGAGCAAACATGAAGTCAAAGAAATGTTTGATGCCATGACTGGACGCCTGGTTGCCCGATTGCAAGGCATGACACCAAAAGATAATCATTATTGCAGACTGTTGGGAATGCAGGTAATTTCAAAAATTTGATCTCTGTATATATATTATCACGATTTATTCCTCCCTTATAAAAATTTTGTTTTATCTAGGCGGCATTACTTTACGAGGAAGCAAAACTACTGACCACCCTTATGGATTCTGCAGGAGCCTCTTCAACCTTAGAAACAGCCTTGCAGATGATCAGGCCCCACCAAATGCGAATCGAAGTCATATTTCTAATTTTACGAATAATGAATCATTATGCCTACCTCTTAATTTCGAAAGAAATAAACCTAGACTACGCCCAGGTAATAAATAATAATTGATATTGAATGATCAAATTTGATATTATTAATAAATGAATTAAAGTTGTTTTGATTTTCCAGGCTTTGTTACAAGAAGCTGAGAATATATACAACAGATTGCACATGAGTGGAAAATCTGCGTCGCTTTTTTATAACACAGATGATTTGTTCTCGAGCGAAGTGGATGCTGAGGCACATCTTTCCATAAGTGGAAAGTTGGAAAAATTAGCTACAAACAACATGCAAATGCTTGGGTAAAATATAAAAAATATATCATGCTTGTTGGATACTAAAATTTATTTTATTACAGATACATATATCATAAACGTGGTATGATTGACAAATTTGTAATATACCATCATTGCGTCTTAAATCGTCATTTGGAGTTACAAGATCATGATCCACTAGGATGGGCATCAAAAGCTGAACGACTGGCGCATTATTTCTTAAGGGAACGTCGATTTATGTAAGTAAAGTAGATAAAATATTGATGCACATTTTCATGCATTTAACATGCAACCACTTTTGGCTAACTATTTTTTTCCTCAAAGGGATGCAAGACATCATTTAATGGCTGCATGGACTGTTGTAAATAGATTAGAAAGGATCACGAAATCGAGAAAACCAACAGATCACAACTTGGCAGCTTTGTCTAAAATAGATTACACCTATAGCCGCCTGGCTACTTCGTGGGTTAGATATGGAAATGAATTATTTGCATATTCACGACTTGCACTGCTGAGGTACAACAGAAAATAACATTTACCAAAACTCGAAAATTAATGTACCACGAATATTTAAAATTTTATATAATTTTCTTTTTATTATTTTTAAAGAGCCCTAGGCAGAGGTGCTGACGAGGCTATATGGGGCGTACGTTTGCCCATGCATACTGCTGCAGATTATGCTTCAGCTGATGTTGCCGCAATGACAAATGCTGCAGTCGCAGCAGCAAATGCTGCAAACGGCCAAGCAACAGTTAATGAAGAAGAATCGGGTAAAAATTTAAATCTTAGGTCATAAAACTAATAATGTATGTTTGCAAATCATTGTCGCGACTGATAGGCAATAAATAAAAGCAATAACATTATTAATAGAAGTATTTCAAAATGATTCTATAAATATTTTTTTTATCAATTACTATAGCTACAGTCATACCTGGATGTTGCGAAGCCTGCTCTGAAGTAAGTTTGCCTCCACCTCGTATTTCTGGTCTAAGTATAGCTCCACACAACAGCCTGGATGCATTTGGCATGTATGCAACTCCTGATTGTGGCCTTTCAGATGATCCAAGTGTTTTAGAGGATATCATGTCCTATCAGTCGACCAATATTCATAATGCAGAAGGTATATATATATTCATATTCATCATTTCACACCTATTAATAAGAAAAATAAATAAATAAAATAAAAATTTATGATTAACTTTAGATATTTAAATTAAACTATTTTCAAATGGCTTTTTATAATGAATGTGAATGAATTATTTTAGCTCCACCCGCAGAGGCATTGAATAATTCCGGTAAAACCACTGCAAAATCTAACCAAGAATCAAAAACTAATCAGTCTCCTACTTCAACAACTAGCGATGATACGTTGATGACAAAACCTGGTCAAAAATCAGCTAACGATAAATCCAGAAGTTACGAGAAAACACCAGTGGGAATAGTTGCAGATGTATTAGATGAAATTACGAAATTAAGCAGTTCTATTCCACCTTTAGTCAGGGCAAGTACTACAGGTAAATAAAATGGAATTTATCGTTACAATAACAAGAGGCTTAAGATTTTGTAGTTACTATTAATTTGAAATTCTTTAATCAATTATAAGCCTAATTAATATAGTCTATAAACCTAGTATTAGGAAAGGTTTTCAAAATTATGTAACTCCTGTAGTTTATAATCCGTGAAATGGCTGACTGTCTATGAGGTCTTTACTAAAATATTTACTTACATGCCAAAGCAAATAATCAACTTTGGCTACTTACGACACCATCATTATATCTTCTACTAAATGATTTTTTTTATTTGTTTCTTATAACCAATCTGAACCTTGGGTTCAAATGGGGAATTTCCTTACATAAATATATTGATTGTTAATATATTACTAAATGATTTACACTTACTTTCTTTCACCAATTGCTTTTAAAAATATATAATTGTACTATTATGTAATATTATACACAAAGTCAATAGAATGTGTCTTCCACTAGGTCTGAAAGCAGAATCAAAACAACAACCACAGGCAGCAACTTCCGAGGCTGAAAACTCTAACACTGCGCAACCTGAAGCTGCCAGTGGTAAGGCCAGTGGTGAAAGTGAGCAACCTCAAGAGCCGCAATTGATATTTGAAATGTTGAGGATACATAATATAGAGAGAAAGGTAATATTAAAATAAAATAAATCACTAGTGATATGTAACACTCATTTGATTCATAATACTTTTTATTATTTGGTAAAATTTTTAGTTTTCTGTTATTATTTTGTGAAAATAAATTTTCTTTTAAGATACCTGCAGAAATTATAGACTCGGCTCCAGCTGCTAGAGCGTTGTTCAATCATACTTACGAAATGCTGAAAGTTGCCAAACGATATCACAACGTACGAGATCATCCTGAGGATTACGAGCATTGGGCGTTAACACTTTGTGATTTATACGATTTTCTGTCGTTTTATGAACAAGATATATACACGTAAGAATTTTAAGAGAAATAAAATAGATTCAATATAGGTTTTATGTTATCCTCTAATTTTCATCAATAACTCAGTCAGTACGAGTTACAAAGACGTCGTGCAGAGACCTTAGAGACTCTTACAGCAGCTCTGCGCCGGGTCAGACCTGACTACTACGTGCACGTCAGCGTTGAACTACTTCGAGAATTAGCAGGTGCCCAATTGGAACTTCTCGAGTTGAACTTCCGTCGTCTTTTCTGCGCCCAACTTCCACCACCACCATATCCATACACAAACTACCAGTACGTTTATCCAACGGCCCAAAATGGAGCTCCAAAGTGCGCATCCCATCATAAGGAGGGATATAATTTGGGAACAGCTCTTAGTGAAAGCGATATTGCCACAGCAGCAGGAGTTGGCCCGCATAATCCACAGAATATAACGCCGCAGGAGGCACAGGCGGCGCAAGCGGCTGCTGCGCACGCGTTGAATAAACTTAGAGCTTTTGCTGATGTAAAAGACAGGTAAATATTGATTTTTAAAAATTATTGATACATTTAACTGTGTTTGATGAGTATTCTCGTCAAACATATGTCAGTCTTGTGTTTCCTTAGAATTTTTTGTTCAATAATTTTTATCACAGTTTAGAAGCTCTTCTTTATCTTTAGATGTATAAATATTTTAATATCGCCAGCCAGTCTCATACCACGTTTGTATTTTTCCAAATTTTTAAAGTTTAATAAAACTTACCATTATCATTGGTAATTAAGAGTTAATTCCTCCTAAAACGTGGTGATGTAGACCGTGCCTTCTAGATCTAATTGAATTGACAATTCTTTCGAATTGACACGTACATTGAAGACTGGACCAGTTTAGCGAAAAGCAGCACGTGGAACTGAACTACGACGTCAATATAATTGCTGCAGGAGATACCGAACAATACGGAATGTGATTAGTGAATATGAAATTTACCTATGCTTGAAAAAAATACCAGAAAAAAAGCTGCTGAAAAACGAATGGAATCAACAAGTATCTATTAGTCAAGATCATTTCATGCACTGGGTTCAGTTTTCTACCGTAAAAATAGTAGCGACACCTGTTTTTAATTTGGAATATGTTCAATTCAATAGTTTTATTCAAAAAATTAAAATTTAATGTTTTTATATATTTTTGTACAAGTGGTTTTATTTTATGATTTTGTGCCCACTTTTTAACCGCGTTTAACCAATCTGTTCATGTATAAAAGTCACCGTTTTTTCTATAAAAATATATAAATAAAACATACAATATCATATTTATTCATATGTATAAATATAATATATACTAGAACACAGTTATACTGTTAGTAGTAAGAATAAATATATATTAGGTCATAATTAAAAATAAATTAGAGTTATTAATATATAAATATTTTGTCATGACAAATATTATTTAAATTTTAGATTAGCCTTGAGCAAAATTGATAAATAAATATTTGTACTTTTTCTTTCTTAGAAATTTAATCTAATTATATTAAAAACTAGATTTATAATACGAAGTTTTGTGGTATACACCATATATATATTTTTAGATTATAATGCTCATATTATTCATATATCATATATATTTAATTCAAAAATTTACTAGAAAATTTTAATTAATATTGTTTAAATTTAATTTTGTAAACTATTAAATTTTTTTTAATTTTAAATCAATATTATATACTATAATTAATTATTTAATAATTAATTAATATATAGTATTTGTTAATAAATCTTATAGAACTAATAACTAACGCACTTATAAGTACATTAAATAACGTCACTAAAAATAATTTATTATAATAATTCTTGTTTATCCCTTTGGCGACCGATTTAACTACTTATTATATTTAACTTATATTTATTTTATTATTTGTGATGATTTTCTTGCATGAGCAATAAGTAAAGTATATGGCGAATAGATCTTGATGTCGCCATCTAAACTATCATCTTCTTTAAACTCGTTATTATTTTTATCAGTTTTTCCAACAAACCCCATTTTTCTGACTATTTCAAAATAATCATGAAAATATTCGTTATGTTGGTGAATTGGAATTCGAGATTTGAAAGGATCCACTGCTCGTACAGATTCTGAACAGGAATAAATAATAATAATCATCAAAATACTTCATAGTAACATTTTAGCGATTACTTTTAGTTTTATTCTGTGTCTATTTTAGTTTTTTTATAATTCTACTTACCGCTTAAAATATCGATTCCATCGAAAACAAACACCCTGTCTCTTGTCTCGCAATGGATTTGTTCGAATCCAGCATCAGTTAGATGTTGTTTTAATAATTTGTGGGGATTTTCAATGTCCTGATATGGTGAAACAAATCGATCAGCATCCTTCATATAAGGAGCCCATCGAGGATTTGAAGCCATTCTCCGGTAAACGTCGAAGATTGGATTCCGGGCAAGGAAAACCAAGAGGCAGTCGCCTCCGGGAAGAAGGAGGTCGTAGATGTTTTTAGCTGCCCTTCTAGAAGAAAAATTAAAATATTTTATTTATTTTAATTTTAGTTACAACTGTTAACAAAATAGCCAGTATTTTTGCATAATTTTTAAATCAAGAAACAATAACACAAATAATGAACAGTGTGACCATTAAAAGTACCATTATTCAATATTTCTTTGAATTTTTTTTTAAATTGATTGAATTGATAAAATTGATGAATTAATAAAATAAAATAATGTATATCTATTGCCATATTTGTTATTTTTTTCAAATTGATCAAAAATGCTTAAAAATGTAAAGAATATTTTAATTAGTCATTAATATTTTTGTAACAAATTTTAATTTTATATAATTTTAAATAATAGTAATTTTAAATTTCATTTTATTATCATCATAAGGATATCATTTCAATGGATATACTGTCCTTCATTTTGTATTATATATTTATTCTAATTTTTATCTAATGTTACCAAATTTTATTTAGGAGATGTAACTGATATTGCAATTTTAAAAAAGTTGATTTATCGATTTTATTTATTCAATTCGATAGTTAGATATATTATTGTTATTAGCATTAAAATAAAATTAGTAATATTTATAAAAAAAATTGTTTAAGTGTTAAAAATTATCCTGCATACTAGATGCTCAATTTCCAAACAAATCAAAAACAAAACACTTAAGCAATTAATAATGGCTTTGTTAAATTATTTTCGTATTAGTATCTTTGACAGAATCTATATTGCATATGATTTCAAAATTACAGTATAATGACTTAGTTTTGGTTTAAAATAAATATCGAATATAATTGTCAAAAGTTAAAATACTCATTTGTTTATTTGGTAAATGACATTTCACAATTAGTAAAAACATAACAAATGCGATCAACTTGATAAATTATTAATAATTTAAAATATTTTCCTCATTGGGTTAAAATTTCATGTATTTGAAAAAAGATACTTCTAAAAACTACGCAGTAAAAGATTGTTAGTGAAAGATGGACGACATTGATGAAAATTTCTTGGAAAGACATGGTCTTGTGCGTACACATCGAGGTAATAGACGAAGACGAGCTAGAACAATTGCAAATCGTGTAAACCGAACAAGAAATGTTGATAATAATAGAGAATATTTATTTAATATGCGGGACAGATTGTTTCAAGCTATATTTCAGAGAGCAACAATGACGTACGCTAAAACCATACCAAAAACTATGCGACGTACAATAGAAATATTTCTTTTGCTAAAAGCTCTCCTGGCTTTCTTTAGTCTCATTTACATCCACTTTCAATTCTCTAAAAATTCTGCAATAACTTTGAATTCAGTGGTAAAAAATTGGCCAGAAACTGGTATTTTGCGATTGGAATTATCAGATGATTTATCTTATGTACAAGAAACTGACAGTGACCTAAAATTGTCTGATTTGTGTATGAAAGTGTTTCAAACTAAGAAAAATCCATCAAAAATCAGGAGCAGATATACTCTGAATCCGCATGGTTTGAAAACCACGTGCTTTCGTAATAATACTAATAATGTGTTGCAAAATATGACCAATATAATAAACGAATTGTTGCTAGAGAACTTAAAAAGTGAACACATAGTCGAATATTCCATTGAGCAAGGATTGTTGAGATTAAGCGATGAATTGCGAAAAAAATTCAATGTCCCTGTACTACGTGTTGTTATCAATGCCAGTAATGACGATTGTTTTGGAAGCACTGTGTCACGTGTCCTAATAGAAGAATATTTAGGATATGATGATTTCCTTACGTCCGTCCTGAAAAACGTAGCAAGGAGCCATGGGTCCAATGGTTATATCAAAAATGCAAACACTGATGAATATTTTATGATCAACAAAATGTGGAGAGGAACTTTTTCCTATGTGGTAGCTTTAATGTTAATGTTATTTTTTACTGCTGTTATATCAATTTTGTTGAGATTTATTCAACATCAACTTTTCGTAATCTTGGTTGACGTATTGCACGTTTTGGAATACAACACACCGATCACGATACCCTTTTCCATCATGATTTCAGCAATTCTTGCACTTCTGGGGATGGAGTTGATATTGTACGATTTTTTCAAAAATTCCACACTTAGTTTTTTGTTATAGTCGTAATATGGATTGCTGACCAATTTGACAACATTTGTTGCAACACTACAGTTTCAAAAAGATACTGGGTTAGATTCTTCTACATGTACCACTTCCTTTTCTACGCTTATCATTACAAGTTTCATGGACAGTATAATAACTTGGCTTACTCCGCATCCTGGTTATTTATTGAACACTCAATGGTTTACTTTTTTCACCATTATGAAATCCCAGCAGTTGAGCACGAAACTCGGAGAAGACATCAGAGTCGTCTATATATGGAACAACAAGTCGAGAGGGCTAGAAATGTAATTGCATCAGCTAATGAGGTTGTCAGAATGGAAATGGAAAATCGGGTTGTAGAAACCCAAAGTGTTGGTACAGAGACTGATCCAGATGGAGAGATTGTTGGAGATTATACTTTACTTCTTACAGTGGAAAGATATGACCATAATGCTGAATCTTCCCTGGGAGAAGAAATTCCAGAACTGGTACTAACGCAGGAATCTTCACAAACCACATAAAAATTATGCATAACTTTTTGGTACTTAGAAAGTATAAATGTTATTCTTATTAAAATTTGACAATGTTGTAATATTAAAATTTGAAAAACACAATTTAACTTAAAGAAATAAAATTTATCATTGAGTATCTCAACCTTGCTTATTTTCTTCATTGTCATTTACGCCCAAGATCGGAAATCACTTATGCAAAAATTGAAATAATTTGTTATACTACTTATGAGTGGAAAGTTATAATTAAATCACATGAATCAAGTTTAAAAGAGTTATTAATCCTCTTATAAATTTAAAGTTGATATAGATTATGAAATCGTGGCCTCTGCCTTCGGGTTTTGTGCTAGGTCAGTGGCATAGTTTTATTGTTTTTATTGATTTATCTAATAAGAGTTGAATCTCTTCAATACCAACACGGCCATTGATGCGTCGTTTCAAGATCATTGGATAATAAATATCTTCCTGATGTAAGAGAAATAATAATTTCTATAAGTTCTTTTATTGTTATTATGATAATTATAATATATATTGAGAGAGAATGTTGTTCATAAGTCTGCAGGAGTAAAATTTTAGGATATAAAAATCATAAAAACACAAAATCATTATTTCATAATTATATAGCATTTAAATTCATATTCATATGTATGCAGTCATATGTGTGGTGTTTCTTAGGTAGCTACTTATTACAGTTAACGTCCACACTTAAGTAAAATACTTAAAATTATTTTTTTTGATAAAGTAGGGCTACGATAAGCAGCTGAATTATAAAAAATCATCGAGGTTTAAGATTTCGCTGCGTAAGTGATTCTAGTCAGAATCTATGCCTATATAAACATATGTAAGTTATGTGTAGTGTTTCGTGGGTAGCTACTGATTACAGTTAACGTTCACACTTAAGTAAAATATTTAAAATAATTTTTTTTGATAAAGTACGATAAGCAGCTGAATTATAAAAATTCATTGAAGTTTAAGATTTCGCTGCGTAAGTGATTCTAGTGAGAATCTATGTCTAGGTAAGCATGTAAGTTCTAGGTAGTGTTTCGTAGGTAGCTACTGATTACAGTTAACGTCCACACTTAAGTAAAATACTTAAATTTTTTTTTTTTATAAAGTAGGGCTACGATAAGCAGCTGAATTATAAAAATTCATCGAAGTT